ATGTATTTGCTCATTGCTGGGGCATTTTCTCCCTCCTGCGAGCTGCTGGAATTCTCTTCAAGGTCGCCGCGTCAGTGGCGAGGAGGGGAGTGGAGAGAAAGCCACCAGCCGGTTCGCTCCACAACAGCGGATCCAGTATGGATGGGCTGCGGACGGGGCGCCCGCTCGCTGGAGGCCGGCACGTCCCACTAACGAGCGACTCTCGCCTGTCTGACGATAGCCCCCCGGCTGCCGATGCCACGGGGCGGATTTATCAGGAAAAACGTTGCTCTGGGACAGCCACGCTAATAAACGCCCTTTGCCAGCTTTTGTGCTGCATGCTTGTTTGCCCGCAAGGCGTGTGGCCGGCACACGAAGCCGGGCACCGTGAATGTGAAGTGGACTGGCCCACTCCGGAACACCTAGCTCATGGCAGCCCCTGCAAGACGCCTGCCCTGGCTGCACTCGGCTTCAGGGACTTTCCCCCCAGAAAGTGAAAGGGCAGGGGTTCTGCTCGCTGGGCTCTTCCAGCCCAAGTGGTGCAAGAGTTCCAGTCCCTCTTGGTCAGTGACTCGGTGCCTACCCTGGGGAGTCCCCCTCCCACCTTCCAATGGCTTCATGGGGCAGCAGTGGAAATTCCCCTCCTGCTGCACCAAGGAGCACGGCGACCCGAGGGCTCCCCTTTGAGCTTCACGGCTACTCCCCCGGGTGGGAAGACGGGCTGCCCCTGGGGCCCACAGAGGGGAGACGCAGAGTGGGCCATGGGGGAAGGAGCCCCATGCGGCAGAGGGGCAGGCTGGGTGTGGGACAGACTTTGCTAGCCCCGCGGATTGCAGGTCAATGGCCGAAGACCCGATGCCTGCTGCCTGTCTCACGTACCTGTGCTCGCGCACGGCGCCCGTCGCAGCTCCCTGCTGGAGAATAGCGGGTGACGGTCACTGCCCCCTGGCTGGGTGTCGACTGCTCCTTGGGGTGCCCCCAGACTCAGCACGTGTCTGTAACAAACCCAAGCACAATCTCACACCTGCACGGACACCTGCACGCGCCCAGTGAAACAGAACAACGAACTCCACCAGCTCAGGCCGGTTCAAATGATACCTCACAAGGCATTGGCGGGTGGGCTGTGGGGGGGGTGCCACACAGGTAATGATTAAAAAACCAGCCTGAGAAGCTGTGCAGAAGCCCCAACCAGTGGGGAGAGAGCTTAGTGAAACAGCCAATGGGGGGAAGCTTGTTAGGGCAGCCAATCAGGGCTGGTGGTGGGGGGCTATATAAGCCAGGCTGCTCAGCAATGCTGCGTTTCTCCCTGGCCTGCTAGGGAGCACCGTGGCTGGTGCAGAGTGGGGCAGGCCAGCAGAGCAGGCGTTTCTGGCTATCGCTGCCAGGCTGAGGCCCTAGATGAAGTGCAGCTAGGGGGCTAGGGCCACGGGGGAGGGGGCACAGGGAAAAGCGGCAGCAGAGGAGTGGGAGGGGAGGCAGGCAGTGAGCGGGGGGCCTGCTCCCCCCACACTCATTTCCCGATGGGAGCGTGGCTGATCTCCGGGTGGCTGAGAACGGTTGGTCAGGCCTGAGCCGACCTCTCTCCCCCTTCCGTAGCCAGGGTGGGCCTTAGCCACGGAGCCATCCTGGTCCGGGAAGGGGCGGCCTTTGAGCTTCAGCAAACGGCTCCTGTGTCCCGTCAGTGCCGATCGGGGCAAAGCCGTGGGCTTGCTGAACCCCTCCGCTGGGGCCCAGGCCCGACGGCAACGAGGGGGCCCGGGGCGCTCGCCGCAGGCCCTGGAAACG